GGGTGCGCTCGCAGCTCTTCAAAATCAACCAAATCACGCCCAGACGCCCAGACAGGATGAGATACAGAGCACCTTAGAAACTGCTCCTGTGATGTTGAATTCAGTACTGCTATCACGTTCAGCAGCCTTATGCATGCACCCAGCCATTCATCGTCAAGGGGGTCCCCCGCCGGACCCAAACCCCAGGGGCCCGAGAAGAGCCCAAAACGCAGCCTGGCCCACAAATGCATGCAAGGCAGGTCCACATCATCGCCATGCTTTATCTTGCAGGCAGCACCTGGCACCGCCTTATCGCCGCCAAGCGCACCTGCGTACTGAATTCATTCATGAGCAGGCGGGTGCGCACCTGTCCTAAATCAACACGTTTCAATCATTCTGTTGCGGCATGCTGGGAATCTTCCAAATCGGTCTCTTCAGGGATGCTTGCTGTGTTGCTGCTTGTCACGGCTGCAGCACTCAGTAGAGGTGGAGTGCCGTGCACCCCCCTACAGTAGCCATGTATGCCACTGCCGTTTGGGTGTGGTGCGTTGCTGCACGCCTTGCAGCACTGCAGCATCGTCAAGACTTGATGGTGATGTCCTTTAAAGGAGATACACGGCTATGCAACTAGAGGCGCTCAGTCATATTTGGCTTCAAGTGCGTGTTGGAGGACACTGCGTCGTGTTTCGGGCGCCTTGAAATCAGTGCCGGGGGGCCCTACCTGGCCAGGCAGAACCAGCGCGCCCATGTGGCGCCAGGATCGGCAAGACGGTTGTGATGTGCAGCATGGCAGGAGACCGGGCAGGCTTTGCATGCAGAATCTGGGGGCCTTCAGTCCCCCAGTGGCTGGACTGTGATTTGCCTGGAGATAATCAGCTGGCGGATGATGTGTGCCATGTGGGAGGTTGAAGCTGTCTGCGGCGACCCACCATGTGGCTCGCGCTTCAAACACTGCTCATCGACGCCCTGCTTGAGCTCCCACTGCTGCTTGAAAACAGCAGGCAAGATGCTGCCGATGCCCATTGGCGGTAGATCAGCAGCTGCTTGGTGCCTGCTGCCACGGCCTGTCAGCCTGCCATTTAGGCGAGTAGCGTGCGCATCGCCACCCCTTTTCACCTACGTACCTCCTCTTCTTTCTTCGGCTTACAGATCAGCAAAATGGCCGACGCCAAGGCAGCCAAGAAGGAGGGTGAGCACGCTGTTGAGGAGTCGCGCGCTCCTCGCAGCGTCACAGTGGGCCTCGATCAGCTGATCATGAGCACGGAGCACTACGTTGGCTTGGCGCCGCGTGCATGGGTACCGTTCTCAATGCGCTTGCACCTCTGGCGGCGATCCTGGCTGCTAACGCCCCTCGAATCGTCTGTTGTTTGTTTGCGTTGACGCCAAGAGACGATGAAATGGCGGCCGCGGAAGCGTTCAGAACGCCGTCATCCACCACACAGCCAGCGAGACAATTTAGCACGCGGGACAATTCACAATCCATTTGGACTCGGGAAGTGGTGGCTCCCAGGCGTGCGCAGGCTGCAACGTGGCGGGGCGCGCTGCCCGGCGCATTGCTCCAGCCCATTGACAAAAGACTGGCCATGCGCTTTGCCCCCTCCCTAAGGCGGCAAGAAGGGCGTGGACATGGTCGGCATGAGCGACCTGGGCGGCGTGAAGGTGAGAGCAATCCCCATGGCACCCCAAAGGCTGCACGGCGCCCCAGGCACAGAAAATCGGTGCACTGAAGTGCCTGGGCCGCGGCATGGTGCCCATTGCCCCTTCCCCATCCCCACACCCTGGAGCAGTTCTTCACCATCACCCTGGAGACCCCCAACGGCGACATGAAGCTTATGGACTCGGTGCTCGAGGGTGCGCGACATTCATCGGCGTGCCGTGCCGGCAGGCGGCAGGGGTGCAACCGAGTGACATCACACCGCCTGCTGCTACGCAGCAAGGGGAACTAGCAGACGCCCGCCGACAGCGCTTGCACAAGCAGTCACGCGGCCGCCGATGCAGCAGCCATCAAGCGCGTCGCGCGGCCGCCGGCCCAGGCGCCGCATGGCAGCTGCGTTCGGCTGCGCTGCGCCGCGGCCCCACCTTGCAGAGCTTGGCCCCCCCACCCCACCCGTGACCCGCCGCGCCCCTTCACGCAGGCATGAACGCCGAGGTGGACGAGTCCGCCGAGGAGCGCAAGGGCGGCGCCGGCGCCCTGGGCAAGGCGCTGCTGTCGGCGGGCGACAAGCAGCTGGTGGTGGTGGTGCACGTGCCCAAGGCGCTGCAGGAGGCGCACGAGTCGTTCAAGATCAAGGAGTGGGTGCAGGTCGTCGTCGACGCCACTGGCGCCGCCATCACCGAGGAGGGCGAGGAGG